TTAACCCAATCAGTTAACCGCTAACAGCCATTTACCAAACAAGACCTGAATTTTGGATAAAAGATGACTACAATTCATAATATTTTCAATTCAAAATCATACATACTTGAGCATCTAAATACTTTTTTAATGCATGATTTTGAACTTGAAATGCGATGCATTTGATTATTTTCTTTTGATGATTTAGTTGAAAGGACAAAATATTGGGAAAAAAAAAAAAGTCTTGCACCAAATGTGGTAACAATAATACTTGAGTGCCAAATAGCATGTGACATAGTTGGACCAAAAATTAAAATAACTTAATTAGTTATCATTTAAATGGCGACTCAAGTTCAATTCTTATTAATAATTATAATTAATTAATAGAGTTTATTTTACTTTTGAGTGGTATTGACTTTAAATATATTCGGTTTTCATCGAAAACTATAAAATCGCATCCTAGCTACTATATTTGAGGCCAATTTGAAGTAAAATATGAATATTTTTTAAAGTCAATGCCCATAAATAGAACTAAAGCCGTCAAAACGGGCGGTTGACGAATTAGACCCGTTAAGCCCGATTTTTAGTCAAGTTGGGCCAAATTTTTCATTGACCCGATCTGTTAGCCGATAGAGGATAACCGGGTGGTCATATAACCTGCCACCCCACCCCATATTTATTTAAATATACTTTGTTTTAGTTTAAATGGGCATTGACAACCAGGATTATGTGGTCTAATGGTACCTGGGTTGGACTTTCATTTGGAAGGTTGTGAGTTCAAGCTTCAGTGGAGGCGTTATTGGCTCTTTGTGTTTCGGTAGGTAAAAGATTGTTTATAGTAAGAATTGAATTCCTAACATCTCATCTCAATTGATCTAAACCTAATAAAAGCAACTATGCTGGAAGCATTTGTTAAACTTTCACACATACACACACACACACATATAACTTAGTCTTAATATATTTATTACAAGTATTATTCAATATGATTAATTGTAACTTTATATAAATATTAATATAATTATATAGTTAATATAAATTTTATTTATTACATAAAATATATAAATTTATGAACTATACATTTTATAACTTAATAATATTATAATTATAAAATATACATAAAAATTATATTAGTGTTAAATATATAAGTTAAATAAACTATAATTATATTACAAATTACAAATTAAAATCTAATTATCTAAATATACGTTATATATAAGTACACATGAAACTTGTTTAAAAGGTTTAATGTGTTGGATTGGTAGAGGCTTAGGTAATTATTCTTCACTCTAAGGTTAGAAGTTTGAATCTTAGATTATATCAAAACAGATTAATATTTTAAAATAATTGTATTAATTAAGTTATTATTAAAAAAAAAAAAAAAAAAAAGAAAGTGGACTGGCAGGCTGGCCTCTTTAGCTCTACAGCCCACTCATACTTGGGTTGGGCTTAACTCCCCAACCCGGTTTCAAAAGGAGTCGGACCGATTATCCATCACGTTTTCTTCCTAGTTCATTCGTATGAGCTCATCTAAACTAAAAGTTTTGCTATAATTAAAAGACTAAAAATAAAATAATTTATTACCCAATAATTAATAGGAGGTAATTATATGAGATCTACTCGATTAAATGGCATGATTACTCTATTAGGAAAAGACCTCATACTTAATATGACTATGATGTTGTGGAATTGCTATTCATGTTTCTTTAAAGTCAAATAATAAAACTACAAATTAATTATAAAAAAAAAAGGGGGGAAATATGCAGAAATTGTGATGCATGTCCAATAATGTTTATTCAAATGTTCATTTCATTGATGCGTGATATTCATAAATGTGAGGCAGAAATAAAAATGCCAAGCAAGATTGATGGAAAGAAGGCATACTTGTAAGTGGTAACGAAGTAATGGAGAAAGAGTGCAACTTGAAGGCGAGCCAACTCAGCACCGGGACAAAAGCGGGCTCCACCCCCAAAGGGAGTGAAATATGGACTATTTTTCCAATTTCTCATCTCCTTTAAAAAAGAAAAAAAAAAACATAGAAAATAGTTAGTTATTGAATACTAGAGGGGAAATGACATCATTTAATATCTAAAGTTTTGATTTTGTCCGACTATATCTTAAACCATATGAAAAAGGTAAATCTTGAGTTGCTCAAATAATTCTATATCAAAGACTATTTGAATTCCCACTATTATATGATGTAACATTGATATATATGTCATTCTTTCCAAAAGGTTGAATCCCAACCCTAAAGGCCCTTGATATATATGTCATGAACTGTGTTAGAGTTGGATTAAAAAATTACTTCATAGACAATCGATAGATGAAAAGTGGTAACATGTATAATTAAAACAAGCAGAAAAATGTTATTTTCTTACCATTCATAAACAAAAAAATGTCATTTTCTCAATGGTTCAAAGTTAATATAACTTCTCCCAAATATAACTTTGAACGAAATATAATAATTAATTATTATATGATGCTATAAATGTCATGAACTCTTATGTTATTTAATTTTTTTGTATTTAATTATTACTATTAAAGGACAGATACTATTTTGGAAGCTAACCTGATTCTCAGGAACCATCCATCTCCAAGGGTTGAAAGTGAGAGGCTCAGGGTATATGTCGTCATTCAAATGGACTGCTGAGAGGAATGGAACCACAAACACTACAAGAAAAATGCACATAGACAACGGTTATTAACCGTTGTCGTAGGGGTATAGTTTCTGTTGTTGAAGCCGGTGTTGTTGTAAGTCCCGCGCATAGACAACGGTTTTTTAACCGTTGTCTTTTCTAGAAACAACAACGGTTTTTTAACCGTTGTCTATTAAGTGTTGTTGAAGCCGGTGTTGTTGTAAGTCACGCACATAGACAACGGTTAATAACCGTTGTCTTTTCTAGAAACGACAACGGTTTTTTAACCGTTGTCTATTAAGTGTTGTTGAAACCGGTGTTGTTAAAAGTCATGCAATAGACAACGGTTATTAACCGTTGTCTTTTCTACCAACGACAACGGTTTTTTAACCGTTGTCTATTAAGTGTTGTTGAAATCGGTGTTGTTAAAAGTCACGCAATAGACAACGGTTATTAACCGTTGTCTTTTCTACCAACGACAACGGTTTTTTAACCGTTGTCTATTAAGTGTTGTTGAAACCGGTGTTGTTAAAAGTCACGCAATAGACAACGGTTATTAACCGTTGTCTTTTCTACCAACGACAACGGTTTTTTAACCGTTGTCTATTAAGTGTTGTTGAAACCGGTGTTGTTAAAAGTCACGCAATAGACAACGGTTAATAACCGTTGTCTTTTCTACCAACGACAACGGTTTTTTAACCGTTGTCTATTAAGCGTTGTTAAAACCAGTGTTGTTAAAAGTCACGTACATAGACAACGGTTTTTAACTGTTGTCTTTTCTTTAAAAGACAACAGTTATAAACCGTTGTCTATTGTGTGTTGTTGAAATCGCTTTTGTCACACCCATAAACTGTTGTCTTTTGTAGAAAAGTCAACGGTTTATAATTGTTGTCTATTGTAAAATAGACAACGGTTTTTAACCGTTTTTCACCTGCTTAAATTATAATCGTATAAAAAAAAAACAATTTATCCATTCACCATATGTTGCAAAGTGTAGTTACATAATTGTGCACAAGCTAATAAGGTTCAAAATAACAAGTCAAAAGACTTCCATGACCAATTCTAATTATCATCCAAGTCATAATACTACTACACAAAAAAACAATTCCCCGAACCAATTCAAGTCCAAATGATCACAACGTTCGAATGACCAAATCATACCTACTCTATGTGACTTGATAGAATATCGGCCCATTCAGATCGCACCAGATCAATAACCGCTTTGTCATAATCAACTTGTTGAAACTACATGTAAAAAGTAAGAAAATAAATTAGTATAGATATAAATAATTTGCAATGAAATGAAACTGCCCTCTTACTCTCACCACATTCATACTCAAGGTGTTCATAACAAGATAATGAGTTCCCTAAAGAGAATCATAACAAGTGTAGCCAACAAGTAAAGAAAGACACTTGAAAAAAGCAATACAAATGCACTCCCAAAAAAAAATGTTAACAAATCAGATACACAGGATTCAGGTTCTTGTCTTAGCCTTCAAGTCTTTGAGAGATTATTAGACACCCAAATTTGATAAACAATTCAGATAAAATCTCATGAGAATATAATGCATGAAACTTAAACACAAACGACAAAGAAATCCCTTATTAATTACAAAACATCAAGCACTAAAATGCCCAAAATTTCGAGCTTTCACATGCATTCTACACCCAAATTTCAGAGCAACAAACTTATATATTCTAAAAAATAAAAAATAAAAATCAAATTTATCATCAATAACTGTCCAAATCAAGTGAAAAAGAGAGAGGCTTAAACCCAAGCTAACAAAGCATTAAAAACCTAGAACCATTCTGCAATTAAATAACAGCAAGAAACAAGGAAGAGAGAGTAGAAATGGAATGTAATACCAGTGCTTGAACAGAATTTTTATCATCGAAGTCTGGAGCATCAAATGCATCATATTTCCACTTTGAAACATTCAAATCAGAATAATTTTAAACACGAAATAGAAATGAAATGTATTACCAGTGCTTGAGCAGAATCTTTATCATCAATGTCCGGCATGTTCTTATGGTTTGCAAGCAGGAGTGAGCATTGATTTGTTGGTCAACTTGTTGATGTATTGCATCATCATCAACCTCAAACTTGTTTGCAGTGAGTAGCAGTTCTGACATGTCCTCTCTATGGTAAAGGTAGAGGAGAGTATCATCACTACTCTCACATTTGCACTTGTAAATTTCATTGTCTGCAAATTAAATTAAATAATTAAATTAGCTGCATGCTGCATGATCGAAATGAATGAACTAAAAGAAAAAAATAGACTTTTCGTCGCTAAGTTATAGTATTTTGTGATAGCTAGCATGCATATAGCATACCCTTTATGGCAGTACCACGAAGCTTAACAAGTTCGTGTAGAACTGTTTTTACCATTCGTAATGGTTTGTCATCAGCTCCAGCTCTAAGTAATCCATCAAACCAAAACCCGAAGAAAATATTTAATTAATGAAGCAGAGCCAAGCATTCAGCAAGATATACCAAAATTCCAGACAAATAAGAATAATCATGCAATCTATTTACTATGTCTGTACATACCTCTTCCTGATTTCTTCCATACCAAGATCTTGTAGGTATATGTGAATGCTTTGAAGAATTCGGTGTAGGTCAACCTCATAAATGGTGCTTTGGAGAACCTATAACATATGAAAATGATTCAGAGAATTGTAAACCTCTAATACATAAAATGTATATTACTATTCCTAATACTTATATGGTTGATACCTTCCCAAGGGAAAGAATCACGTGAAGATTGCCACCTTACACTTGTGCAATACTCCTCGACTGTCTAGTCTCACTTGAGAAAACTAAAGAGAGATGTTCCGGCAATCCAAGGTGGTTCTTACCATTGGGGTATCAAACACAACTACCAAGAAAGTTTCTCATACTAATTCTAACAATACTACAAGTCAGTTCATTAAGTAACATAGATGATGAGCCTTAAACTAAATACAAGAAAAATTGATCAACATCATACAATGACAAGATCAAAGCAATTCCCATCTGAGGCAAAACCGTTGTCTTTGTAGTGTTGTGTATTCTAGTGCGCTTAAAGACAACACACAAACGACAACGGTTAAATAAAACCGTTGTCGTTTTTTAAAAAAAGAGCGCACAAAGACAACAGTTTTAAACAACCGTTGTCTTTTTAGTGTTGTGTATTCTAGTGTGCTTAAAGACAACACAGCAACGACAACGGTTAAAAAAACCGTTGTCTTTTTAAAAAAAAAAAACGCACATAGACAACGGTTTTAAAAAACCGTTGTCGTTGTGGTGTTGTCTTTTCACAATATGCACAAAGACAACACACTTATAACAACGGTTATATAAAAACCGTTGTCTTTGACAAAAATGTTGCATCAAAGACAACGGTTTTGGACCAAACTGTTGTCTTTTATACAAAAGACAACACTTTTCTTAATAACTGTTGTCTTTCTAGTGTTGTCTATGTGCACTTTTCTTGTAGTGAAAGCATCCTTTTGGAATAATATAATCTATATAACTCAAGCAAAATGCAACATATATAGTTAATTTTTAAATTTATTGACCAATATATAAAGAGAGTGTTGTGATACTTATACCCTTAAGTTCTAGGCAAATTCTCTTATGCAACCGTTTCACAAATCCTCATTCATAAGGAACGTTGAACTTTTTTTATAAGTATTACATTTTCTTAAATAAGTATTACAATTTTCATCATAAGTAATTCTTCAATTCTTAATATTACATTTTGATTTACAAATATTACATTTTTCATAAAAATCATCACATTTTTCGTCATAAGTATTGCACTTTAATTTATCTCCTAAGTAACAATTAAACAATTTGTTGAGATTAACAAGAACAAGAAACAATAATAACGGCAAAAAGGGTAAAGAAGACAAGATTTACGTGGTTCGGCAATGTGCCTACATCTACGGGAGTGAAACAATACTCTTATTCATAGTAATGGTGATTGTAGTGACACCACCCCTAAGGGATACAACCAATATATTTATAGCATCTAATCCCTGTACAAAGGGTCTACCCGTTTCACTCCTACTGCTAGTATGAAACAAACTCATATTCCTAATCCATATATGAGACAAACTCAACAATCTCCACCTTGGCGAATATGCTCTTTAGGAGAAAAGATAACTCAACAAATCTCCACCTTGACGAATATGATCTTTAGGAGAAAAGACTTATCTCACCATCTTCACCTTCACATATATGCCCTTTAGGAGAAAAGACTATCTTCACCTTTGCAAATATGCTCTTTAGGAGAAAAAGGTAACTCAACAAATCTCCACCTTGGCAAATATGTCCCTTAGGAGAAAAGACTTATCTAACCATCTCCACCTTCGCAAATATGCCCTTTAGGAGAAAAATTTTATCTCAACTATGCTCTGATACCAATTTGTTGAGATTAACAAGAACAATAAAAAATAATAATGGCAGTAAAGGGTAAAGAAGACAAAATTTACGTGGTTCGGCAATGTGCCTACATCCACGAGAGTGAAACAATTCTTATATTCATAGTGATGGTGATAGTGGTGACACAACCCCTTAGGGATACAATCAATATATTTATAGTCATCTAATCCCTATAAAGGGTTTACCCGTTTCACTCCTACTCCTAGTATGAGACAAACTCATATTCCTAATCCATATATGAGACAAACTCAACAATTTGTTGAGATTAACAAGAACAATAAATAATAATAATGGCAGTAAAGCGTAAAGAAGACAAAATTTACGTGGTTCGGCAATGTGCCTACATCCACGGGAGTGAAACAATTCTTATATTCATAGTGATGGTGATAGTGGTGACACAACCCCTTAGGGATACAACCAATATATTTATAGTCATCTAATCCCTGTATAAAGGGTTTACCCGTTTCACTCCTACTCCTAGTATGAGACAAACTCATATTCCTAATCCATATATGAGACAAACTCAACAATTTGTTGAGATTAACAAGAACAATAAATAATAATAATGGCAGTAAAGGGTAAAGAAGACAAAATTTACGTGGTTCGGCAATGTGCCTACATCCACGGGAGTGAAACAATTCTTATATTCATAGTGATGGTGATAGTGGTGACACAACCCCTTAAGGATACAACCAATATATTTATAGGCATCTAATCCCTGGATAAAGGGTCTACCCGTTTCACTCCTACTCCTAGTATGAGACAAACTCATATTCCTAATCCATATGTGAGACAAACTCAACAATCTCCACCTTGGCGAATATGCTCTTTAGGAGAAAAGATAACTCAACAAATCTCCACCTTGACGAATATGCTCTTTAGGAGAAAAGACTTGTCTCACCATCTCCACCTTCACATATATGCCCTTTAGGAGAAAAAACTATCTCCACCTTAGTGAATATGTCCTTTAGGAGAAAAGACTTATCTCACCATCTCCACCTTCACAAATATGCCCCTTAAGAGAAAACGACTTATCTCACATATACACATGGGTAGGAACAACCATGCACATCCCAACTAGCCAGCCACATGCATACGCAGCATCAAACGTTACCCAGTGCATGTACACGAACTGCTTTGTCCTAAGCCGTTCGCCCTCAGCCGTCGACTTGTTATACCAGCCGCGACTCATGCTAACTGCCCGTTCAGCTGACCTCCTGCATCTGGCCCATACCAAATCCATATCCCCTCCTGGTATCCACGCTGCCCCAACACAACAGCGCCCCTGCAAAGTCACACTAAGCCCAATGCTCCACTAACCAGCAATTAACACTGGTCATCAACATGCACCACGCAACATCAAACGTTTCCCCGTGCATGTTCACGAACTGCTTCGTCCTAAGCAATCCGTAACACCAAGCCATATTAGCTAGGGATGTCAATTTAGCCCGAACCCGATGGGCCAACCCGAAAAAAACTGAAACCGACAGGGCTATGGCCCGAACGGGCTAGCCCGATAAAACACATTAGCCCGACGAGCCCGAAACCGATTAGCCCGATGCCCGATAGGGCTAGCCCGAAATTAAAAGGGCTAGCCCGACAACCCGAACTATTGAAAACTATTCTTTATTATAGAAGTGATGTGAGACCTAACATATATGGAATAATTATTATACTTTAAAATAAATAAATAAATAAATATATATATATATATATATATATATATATATATATATATATATATATATATATAATTTAAATTAAAATTTTTAGTTTTTTAAAATATAAATCAACATTAATCTAATATTTTGACTAAAAATTGATGAGGACGGAATTCTTCGTCCCCGCTAAATTCTTCGCGGGAACGTAGATAGGGACTTTTTTAATTTTTCGTTGAGGACGGAGATGGGGAGTATACTTCCCGCCCCGTCCCATTCCGTCCCGCCCCGCTCCGTTGTCATCTTAACTCTAAATATGGGTACTCACTTTCAGTTTCTAATTTTAGTTCAGATGGTTCAACCCGCCCGATTAGCCCGACAACCCGAAGTTTAGGGTTAGGGCCAAACCGAACCCAAGAATAAAATATTAATAAACCGATTAGCCCAACAACCTGACAGGGCTAGCCCGAAATCGAGTGGGCTGGTCCGATTGACATCCCTAATATTATCCCAGCTCATACCAGCCGTGACTCATGACAAGCCCGACTCATACTAGGTCCATATCCCCTCCTGGTATCCACGCTGCCCCTAACACAACAGCGCCCTTGCAAAGTCACACTAAACCCGTGTGCCTTGCCCAATGCTCCACTAACTAGTAGTTGCCACTGGTTAGTAACACGCACCACGCAGCATCAAACGTTCCCAGTGCATGTTCACGAACCGCTTCATCCTGAAGCGTCCGTCCATAGTCCATACCAGTCGTGACTCATGCCAAGCCCAGCCCATACCAGGTCCATGTCTCATGACAAGCCCAACCCATACCAGCCGTGACTCATGCTGAGCCCCCAGTGCCATACTGGCCCATACCAGCCGTGACTCATGACAAGCCCGACCCATACCAGTGTCATACTGGCCCATACCAGTGCCATACTGGCCCATACTAGGTCCATGTACCAATTTTCCAATGCATGTTCACGAATTGCTTCGTCCCAAGTAATCCGTCACACCAGCCGTGGCTCATGGCAAGCCCGACCCCATACCGATACCAGGTCCACGACCCCTCCTGGTATCCGCGTTGCCCAACAATACAGCGCCCCTCACCACCTTCACATCTAGACTCTAGAAACGCCTAACAAGTCCAAACAATGTTCGAACTTGTTACTAGTTACCGCTAGAACATCACCTTCACTATAATAAGAGTCATCAGCTTGTACCACGTCCGTAACTTCCTGCTTCTTCAACTCCCCAAAATCAGCCTCTTCCAAATTAGTTGGCTTTTCCGCCTTCAAGGTTTTCAGAAGGCCCTGATGTGCCAACAAATCTTTTACCCTAGACCGCCATAACCCAAAATTCCCTATACCATCAAACTTTGATACCTCGAATTTTGTACTTGAACTAGCCATCTCAACTATGCTCTGATATCAATTTGTTGAGATTAACAAGAACAAGAAATCAATAATAATGGCAGTAAAGGGTAAAGAAGACAAGATTTATGTGGTTCGGCAATGTGCCTACATCCACAGGAGTGAAACAATACTCTTATTCATAGTAATGGTGATTGTAGTGACACCACCCCTTAGGGATACAACCAATATATTTATAGCATCTAATCTCTGTACAAAGGGTCTACCCGTTTCACTCCTACTCCTAGTATAAGACAAACTCATATTCCTAATCCA